GCCCAAAATTAGGGATCATAACTGCTCTGCATTGTGGCAAATGTTTTGCATTTCAGCTCATTCTTTGAAGTTCCTTTCTTTTTTCCACCCAGTCCCCTCTGCATTTTGCCAGGTGTCTACAGCAGATTCATAGGAGGGAGGAAGAAAGAGGGGCTGAAGGGCCTTTACCCACCCTGCCCTTGAACTTTAACTTGGCCTTGTAGTTAAACACCAGTCTAGAGCTGTGAGCTGGAGTAGAGCTGGGAAGGAATGGAGATGGTGAAAGCTTGTAGAACCAGCAGCTCTGGCTGCTCTCTAATGAAGTCTTTCTCTCTGGTAATCCCTCACCAACAGCAAGTGTTAAGTATTTTTATCATATCATTAAAAAAATCCATAGGTACAGATTCATTGCAGCAGACAAATTGTATATCCCTTTCATTGGTTTAACTCCCAATTATATGTACAGATAGCCAAGAAATGACATGTATTGATTTTGGCCACTTTCTCCACATATGCTACATGCTTAAGGCTAGATCTGCTAGTGCAGGGGTTCTCAACCTTTTTCTTTCTGAATTCCCCCCCCCCCACACACACACACATGATATAAAAACTCCAAGGCACACCTGTGTCACAGCAACTGATTTTCTGCATATAAAAGCCTGGGCCGGCATTAGGGGATAGCAAGCGGGGCAATTGCCTGGGGCCCATGCCAAAGAGGCCCCCGCGAAGCTAAGTTGCTCAGGCTTCGGCTTCAGCCCCGGGTGGGCAGGGCTCAGGGACCTGGGCTTCAGCCCCTTTCAGTGGGGCTTCAGTTTTCTGCCCTGAGCCCCAGTGAGTCTAACTCTGGCCCTGCTTGGCGGACCAGCTGAAACCTGCTTGTGGCCCCCCGGGGAGCCCCGGATCCCTGGTTGAGAACCACTGTCCTAATGTATCTCAGCAGTGCACATCAGTTAACGGGCCTCAAGGAGACCACTCTGCCCAACATTTAGAGTGACCAGACAGCAAGTGTGAAAAATCGGGATGGGATGTGGGGTAATAGGAGCCTATATAAGAAAAAGACCCAAAGATCGGGACTGTCCCTATAAAATCGGGACATCTGGTCACCCTACCGACATTATTGCTGGATAGCATCATGTTTCTGCCCTGCTCCTTGGACCTCTAACATGCCTCCAGCCTGCCTTGGAGTGACCCTATGCCTAGGCTAGGGGAATCCGTAAGGCAACTTTAAGTCCTTTTTGCCAACCTTCATAATTTCTGTAAGAGAAATGAGCAGAACCTCCACAAATTGATTCTGCTCATCCCAGCTGGGTTTTGCAGTCTAGTTTAAAATTAGGTTTGTTCACAGTTGCAGAAATACCTCTAATTATGTTTTTGAAATATTTGGATGCTTCATTTTACTGTGTATGTCCCACACTATCCTAGCAAGCACCATACTGTGCAAAATGGTTTTGAGCAGAAATGGAATTGCAGTTAAATCAGTAAAGGAAAAGAGCCGTTAGGTTTCTTTGTTTACAGTAACCTGTAGGTCTTTGAAGTCATAGCCTCTGACTGTTTATACTCTTGGGATGAGGTGCCCTAATGCCACAAGTTTTCAGAATCTTCCAGGAATTCATGCCCTTTCAGATCCACGCAAGTTCTGCTTTGTGCCCCGAGTGTTTAGGGCCCTAGGTTATGTGAGACAGGTACAGCAATCATCTGAGTTCAATCTTTTCTGATGTTAGCTCCAGATGTAGGAACGTTTGCTGTGTCCAAGTCTGACTCTGTCAGACTTCTAGCTCACTTTTGTTGAATCAAGTTAATATTTAGGTAGTTTAAAAATAGTCTAATCTACAAAAACTGTAGTTTTTGGTTTTCTCTATGTGAATATGCTATTTTCCATATAACTAATATAACTGCACAGTTCCACTTTTGCACATATCCTACACAACTGTGGACTGAGCAGTTAAATGAATCATGTAAATAGTGTTTTGCCTTACTCGGTTAATTGCAGTTTCAATTTTGCACAAAATAATATCTGCTGGTATAGACTGTGGTTTAGCTGTGCAGTTTTTTGCTTTTAAAATCCCCAAACCTGAAATTAATATGTAAAAAATGATGCTAATGCAACTCTAAGAAAATGTGAAAATGTAAACTCACAAAAGTCAAGAAAGTTCTAAAGTTAAAGTTTGCACACTAATACTAACCTAACCCCAGTGCACACGTGGTATGTAGTATTTTAGATGATCATTTATGTTGTTAAATGTATTCCTTAATTTCTGGATGCTAACTTAATTTCTGTGGCTGTGGTGAGGTTACCACAGCAACTTTAACTTTTGCATTTAATGTATATTGTGCATTAGCATTGAAGTTAAAATTAAAGTTGTGTTAGTATAACATTTTGCATTTAGTAGTTAGTTTGACTTTGGTATTAAGTTGAAATTGATTAATGTTGTAATTGCAATTTAAGAAATGGTTATATTTTACTAGTTGATAGCAGTCTACATTTTTGAATGGATGTGATTAACAACATGGATGTATACAGTAAACTTATTCACCTCTGACAGGTTTTTTTGCCTAAAATTAGAAATATAGGATTTGGATTACCTTTATTTCTCCAAACTGGAGATCACCGGACAGAAAAAAATTAATGTAGGTTTCAAATTGGTGTCCACATGATGATCTATGATGGAAATGTCAGAATTCAAATTTGGGTATAGTCCTATGGTTTATAATGAATGAGTGTACAAAATTTCAAGGTTCCACCACACTGAACATGGAAATTATTTACATGTAAGGCTCTGTGTCTGTCACGGAGGTCGCGGAAGTCACAGATTCTGTGATTTTTCCGAGACCTCCATGACTTCTGCAGGGGCCAGTGTGGCTGACCCCAAGGCCGCCCAAGCATCTGGCCCCTGGGACAGCCACACCAGCCATTGCTCCGGCGGCCCCTGGCAGTGGTCCCCAGCCGGCCGGCTGGAGCAGCCCCTGCTCGGTAGCCCTGGGCAGAGTAAGGCTACAGCTACACTAAAAGCTAGCAATGTGATTCCTCTTTCCATGTACACACTCTTGTGCTAGCTCTCACCAACCTAGAGCGAGTATAAATGGCAGTGTGGCTGTGGTAGCATGTGTGGTAGCAACTGAGGCACAGCCTAGATGTGCTGAATATGTATCCACAGCTATACTGTGTCTCCATTGCCGCTATTTGTGTTACTGTGGCTATGCTGTTGTTTATGCTCATACTTGCTCAATCAGAACTAGTGCAAGTATGTGTGCATGAGCAGGGAATCACAGCCTAGCTCATAGTGTAGACATAGCCTATAAGTCAGTCACCCTTGTGATGGGTTGCCCCCGGCCCTGGGGTGCCATCTGATGCACTGGGGTACCACTGAGTCCACCTGTTCCATCAGCCTGGGCTCCCTTACACTGTCCTGCTGAACCAGGCCCTCAAGCCTTCTCCAGCACACACATAGGTAGGGACACACCCAGCTGCAGAAAAACACAGAAACTGAAATCAACACTGCATGGGAAGGCTTCAGCTAAGGAATTGCCCAGCATTCAAGTGCACACCTCCTCTGGAGTGTAAAACCAAAATTTTATTGTCTTGCACTGTACAGAGAACTGGGCAGCGTAAGCTCATGAAATTTGCTCCCTCCCTCAATGTGGAGGAAGATATGCATAGTTTTTTGCCCCCAGTTATAAATTGCACAAACTAGTTTTAGAGAAAACAAAACAAGGTTATTAACTACAGAAGATAGAAGCTCAGTGCTTCTCCCCCTCTCTGTCTTTGTTTCTTAGATGTTTCCAGCAGTCATCCTGGGCAGTGATTCAGTGAAGAACAACTGCTCATTATGTTACTTCCCTGACTTAAATAGGTTTTACATATGCTGGGAATCCTTTGTTTTCCAGTGTGGTTCCTCCGTCCCTCCCCCCAGTGGAAAAATACTGGTGTTCTATCATGGAGTCCAGTACCAGGTGACATAATCACATGACCCTGCAGTGTCAAAGCAGCCATGAGTCAAAGGCCTTGTTTGTAGCATCCCAGGAATGTGGGAGAGTAGCATCTTCAAAGACCTATTGTTCTCCCTAATGGTTCATTGACTTGTCCCCAGCTAACCAGCCAGACTGATTGCATTTTGTCTGGTGGGCATTCCCCAGATGCAAACACTTTTGTAGTACAGATGTATAGTCAATATTCCTAACTTTAGATACAAAAATGATACATGCATACAAATATGATAATCATATTCAGTAAATCGTAACCTTTCCAATGATAGCTCACAAGACCCTCTTGCATAAAATATATCTTAGATATGCTATAATCATATTATAACAATATTTCTATGAAGAATATGGGGTGTAGTGTCACAATCCTGTTGCCAGCATCTGTATTATATAAGATTCATAGATTCATAGATTCTAGGACTGGAAGGGACCTCGAGAGGTCATCGAGTCCAGTCCCCTGCCCTCATGGCAGGACCAAATACTGTCTAGACCATCCCTGATAGACATTTATCTAACCTACTCTTAAATATCTCCAGAGATGGAGATTCCACAACCTCCCTAGGCAGTTTATTCCAGTGTTTAACCACCCTGACAGTTAGGAACTTTTTCCTAATGTCCAACCTAAACCTCCCTTGCTGCAGTTTAAGCCCATTGCTTCTTGTTCTATCCTTAGAGGCTAAGGTGAACAAGTTTTCTCCCTCCTCCATATGACACCCTTTTAGATACCTGAAAACTGCTATCATGTCCCCTCTCAGTCTTCTCTTTTCCAAACTAAACAAACCCAATTCTTTCAGCCTTCCTTCATAGGTCATGTTCTCAAGACCCTTAATCATTCTTGTTGCTCTTCTCTGGACCCTCTCCAATTTCTCCACATCTTTCTTGAAATGCGGTGCCCAGAACTGGACACAATACTCCAGTTGAGGCCTAACCAGCGCAGAGTAGAGCGGAAGAATGACTTCTTGTGTCTTGCTCACAACACACCTGTTAATACATCCCAGAATGTATTAAGATGATGAATTTCAGAAATTTTGGAATTATAGGTAACATCAGTTGCAAATGCAGAGGACTCTGCAGACTCGGAGGGTGTAATTGATTCTCAAAAACGTAGAGAGATTCTTTCAAGAAGGCCTTCATACCGGTAAGTTTATGCTTTTTTAAAACTAGCTTAACTGCCACATACTACTTATATTACTACTAATACTATCTGAAGAAGAGCTCTGTGTACACTCGAAAGCTTGTCTCTATCACCATCAGAAGTTGGTCCAATAAAAGATATTACCTCACCCACCTTGTCTTGCTAATATCCTGGAACCAACATGCTACTCATAGTGTAAATATCAGTAAAAGACAGTCCTCAAAATGTTTCTCTTACGGGCATTGATTTTAAATTAAATTGTTCAAATTATGTTTTAGAAAAATTCTGAATGAACTATCTTCTGATGCTACTGGTGTCCCTAAGATTGAAGAGGAAAAGTCAGAGGAAGAAGGAACACCTTCTGGCATCCCTGCAATGGCAGTACCAACCAGCCTATATCAGACTAGCACAGGGCAATACAGTACGTATGCTAAGATACAGTATAGCATTTTAATGTTAAAAATACTGTTACTATCTTTTGCTGAATTTAAAAATAGCAGAGTGAAAAATGGAGAGAGCTATTTGGACCAGGAAAAAGAGAATGAGATTTATCTTCATATTTGTCCAAGAGGATTGCAGATTGCATCTTCTGCCACATCACATTAGCAAAAATAAAACTTCTTCTGGTCTGTTTCCCTCCCACCTCAAAGCCTCTGTTAATTTCCCAAACTTGGGGTCATTTTGAAATCAAGTACATCATTGTACTGTACTTTAAAGAATGGAAGAACCAGGCATTGGCTGAAAGAGGCAAAATGTAGGTGTCTCTCTTGTCTTTTCCATACACAGGTATTTGTACTTGTATATTATAAGAATTTTTTGTTTTTCATTATTGTATTGTTTTAATGTTGTATTAAATGCCCATGTTGATTGGAAAATGTTGATTAAAACATTAATACAGTGCAATACAAAGTTGTATGTGACTATGGCTCACTTTTTGTCTTAAAAATTTAATACCATTTTGCTAATCTAATGCAAAATATCAGTACTATAAAATTAAGTGGTGTGAAATAGAGTATTCATTGTATTTAAATCTCTAATTGTGTCAGTAATCAAGTCATCTGACGAATGTATGTACTGTATGGTTACTTATTACATGTCACATTCATCCTATTATTTATGGTTAAAGCTAAGATTTTGTCATGGTTATTTTTAGTAAAAGTCATGGACATGTCATGGGTTATAAATAAAAATTCACAGAAGCTGTGACCTGTCTGTGACTTTTGCTGCTGCGGCTCCATGGTTTTCCCCGCCTCCATGGTGGCTGGGAGCTGTGGGGTTCCCCCTCTGCCTGCAGCAGCTGGGAGCTGCAGGGTGACCGTATTTCCCAAAGAGAAAACGGGACACCCCCAGTCACTTGCTCGAGGTGTCCCCTTGCCCCTGCGCGAGGCTGTCGCCCATTGACGGAACCCTGAGGTGGGCCCCCTCAGAAGTCTGTCACCTGTCACTGGAATCCTGCAGGGGGCCCCCCCGTCGCCTGTCGCTGCTGTCACTGGAATCCTGCCAGGGCCCTGCTGGCTGCCAGCTCCAAAGTCCAACAGCCCCTGGGACTGAAGCAGAGAATGACCATGACCTCCATGATATAAACATAACCTTGTTTATGGTATGAATTGACATATAATTTGTAATGAGATAGAGACCATAATTTAGGGATAAGCACAGGAAGGAAAGGTATAGTGAAACTTTCTGTCTTATCTCTCAGTTTTCTGACTTTTGATTGATTGATTTTCAAATCTTCCTGTTGCATTAACAATAATTTTCTGTAATAATAATTAACCATAAGCTACAATTTCCAACTGCTCATCCTTTTTCTCTAAACAGTAGTAGAAAAAATAGCTTCATAGCAGTATTCCTCAAAGATTTTTTTTTTTGCTTTATTTACATGTTAAACATTTCACACCTCACTATGAATGTTAAATTTTGCAGTCATTTCTCTTCTGTGGGTTGAATTTCCATTCATCTTTTTCCTTTTTATGTAGAGTTTTTTTATAGCATTAAAAACAAAGAATTTACTGTTACAATGAGTCATTTATGTCTCAGGTCTTCTCATGTGTAGAAATAATGAAGATTTTTATTAAAAACAGCAGTGTATTTGCTTCTACACAATGGCAGGAAAATGGCAAGGAGGTCTGCTTCTTCTGAAGTATGTATATGAGAACAGAGGACTCCTATTAAAATGTTAACAATGGAACTTAGAAAAGGATAGAATAGCTCTTTCTAAATAAATTAATTCTTTAACTGTTCTTAGAATTCCTCTAGCTATCCTTTATAATTTGTAAAAGTAAAATGATTTTATCAACACTGAGAAAACAAAATTTACATTTAACACTGAACTACTAATTACTATTCTTTATATTCATTATTACTCTGGTTGTAGAGATGTTAATTGTGATGACCAAATTAAGGTTCTGTAGAACAGTGGTTCTCAACCAGGGGTCCGGGGCCCCGTGGGGGGCTGCGAACAGGTTTCAGGTCGTCCGCCAAACAGTGCCAGTGTTAGACTTGCTGGGGCTCAGGGCAGAAAGTTGAAGCCCCACCACATGGGGCTGAAGCCCGGGTCCCTGAGCCCTGCCACCTGGGGCTGAAGCCAAAGCCTGAGCAACTTAGCTTTGTGGGGGCCTCTGTGGCATAGGGCCCCAGGCAATTGCCCCGCTTGCTATCCTCTAATGCCGGCCCAGGCTTTTATATGCAGAAAACCAGTTGTTGTGGCACAGGTGGGCTGTGGAGTTTTTATAGCATGGGGAGGGGGGAGGGCTCAGAAAGAAAAAAGGTTGAGAACCCCTGCTGTAGAATATAAAAGTCCTTAAATCCACTGGGTCTAAAAAGTAAGGGCATTGATACTCACTCCTGCTAGATGCTGAGTCCTTAATACCCAGTGACTGCAACAGTAGTGCTCAGGACCTCTTGGGAGCTGCTCACAACTTGTACTACTCAACTGGAGAGTGTATTTATTAGTTGTGTTCAGCTTTTGATTTTGGGTCGTCATGACCAAACTACAGTTTTGTCAAGAGACTCAGCTTTGAAGTTATATTAAAAAAATGTGAAGAATTTATTCCAAAATGTAGTCTTTTCAGGAAAACCTGGATAGGCTTGAAGGAATGGAAGAAGCAAAACACAAAGCAATAGAGTTGTTGAATGTGTCCAAGACTGAAAAGAAAATAAGTGCCAGAAGAAACTATCTGCATTTGGAAATTAAACACAAATTCAATTATTACTTATACTATGCAGCAACTTTCAGTACATATAAAAGAAGCTCTACATGATTTATAGTTCAATTTTGCTTTGTTGCAGTCAATATGAATTTGGATGCTGATCTGAATGGAAACAGAATTGGGCCTTATGTGTGAAGGGTTAAATATTTTCATTAGCCTCAAGAATTAGTATAAAATACTATTACTGAGTGCTACAAAGAATAAATCTTCTTTCTGTGTAAAAATTCCTTTGGTCACGTTTTCCAACTTTTACTTTTCTTAACTGTGTTCCTACGTCAGAAATCATGTAGCCACCATTAATGCCAAAATTATTTTTTCATCTTAAATATCACTGGTCTATTAAAAAGTAACAGAGGGTCCTGTGGCACCTTTAAGACTAACAG